GACATACGTGCATTAAATAACCTCTGATCATCGGTAATATGAGCACTCTTGTATGGTGATAAAAGCCAGTCCCTGATAGGGTAAGCTGGATCTCCATAAAGAGTAAATCTACCACCAACCTCTAAATTCTCCATCTTTTCACTAAGTCTTAAAAGGGCAGAATCATGTCTTCTCCCTTCAATAGGCCCATACATATTGGCAATCAGTCCGTTCGGCAACACTATTGATTGATACTTTAAAGCATGAGTTCTTTTATGACCATTATAAACAATTCTCTGGTTGACAGTTGGGCGACATATAAGACGGACTGTCCCATCAATAAATCCTATGCAGTTTTTTAGTGGTGCTCCTTTCCGATTGACAGCATCTGCATATGACTGTAAAGACTGGAGATTCAGCCAGGGCTGTTGTAGGCTACTAAGAAGGTGACCATGTGTATCCATGATAAGGTTTGTTACCTCCTTCACAATCATCGATAGTGTTGTTCTATGTCGACCAAACATTGGTTCAATATCAGACAACCTGTTGGGATAAACAAGCCGACGCAGAAAGACACAATATGCTTCAGTCCCATTTGCCCGGACTCGATTTTCACATATGATCTTATCTGGAATGCTTAGAGCTTCTCCTAAGCGGAAAATGTCTTCTTTTCGAAATCTAAAGTACTCTATGCACTGGGCATCAGTTGATTTGTTGAGGTCAAACCTGAAAAGACAATTTGAAAATTGTAAGAAAATACCAATTTTCTTACTGTTTGTTTAATAGTGTGAAACAAAGTTCACACATATTATTCCTCACAGACCCTTCCATTAACATTATTTGTCCAGGTGACAGGTCTACGACCGCTGACCTGAAGCTCACCTGAAAACATGTATCGTAACAATACCTTCCGAGGTAATCCTAATGGCTTTAACAATACCTACATAAGATAATCCTAATGGGTATAATAATACTTTTTGGTAATATGTTTAACTATAGTTTTAGGGGTCTGTGGGGAAAAGCAAACATGATCAATATAACTTATCATATTCTTTTATTCTCTTTATGCTATTATTATTTTATATTGTATTTTTTGTATGGGTTTGGCTATATCAGACGGCGACGAGAATATCTTAGTATGTTTCGAGGATACCGAGCTGCTCAGTCGTCTGTCTGGTATTGCTGACCGCTATATTTCTAATTGTAATAAACAGTGCTTAAACATCGCAAGTACTTTACCTTCATTTACCTTCAAAGACACAACGTGAGGAAGTCCAACACTTGCCGATTGGTGCCGTGACCAGGATTCTGAACGGGAAAACAACGACAGAAAGGACACACCACTGTAAGTAACCTTTATTTCTATTACCGTCAAAATGGGAGAAGAATTTTTTCAAACTCTGTCAAACAAGTTGAGTACATTGACAGAAACAATCTCGGCACAGGGAGTAACCAACATAATCACTCCGTTTGACGGAGAGCCAACCAAATTTCGAGATTGGGTTAAGTCTATTGAGAAATATGCCGTTCTTGCCAAAATCGATACAGCACAAATGAAGTTGATAGCATTTTAGACTTCAAAAGGAATTGTTCTACTCATCAGCG